GGGGGAGAAAAAAAGAGAGAAGGAGGGGAAAGAGAGAGAGAGAGAGAGATCATCTCATCGACCCAGCAGAACTCAAACGTACCGATACCTTCATCTCGCCAGGTCCATTCCTTTCATTTATTCACGAGCTGATCTCTTTACGGTCACACTCGACCACACACCACACACCCCGCGGGCGATATAAGACGGGAACCTCATGCAGGATTTATCGACTTTGGCAGCCTTCCTACAGGATCGATAGACCGAATTGTTCGATCCTCTCATTCAAATTCGATTTGCTTTTTTTTGGCCTCTTTTTTTATAGTTTAAGTAGAGGTTTTACGGCGCTCGCAACTGCATACGGTCATGTGAGCGCCTTTCTCACTTTCAGAGTTGCAATGTCGTAAGCGCGTAAGATAAAACAAGGTGTTATAAAAGTTCTCCCCTTGCTTTAACCAATCCTTCGTCAGTAAGTCATTACATGTGAAGGTATAGCGAAAAGTTAAAACATAAATATTACGCATGTGAAAGAGAGCATGTATTGACATAGGCCTACCATAGGCAATAATATTCTATAACCTTGAAAAGCGTGTTTGGGAAATTGGTGGTTGCATTTGAGTGATTGTAGGGACTTTGCCAAGGAATATGCTTAAGAATAGAAAAACGATAAGATTATAATATTACAGAAATGCTTTTTTCTTTCTTTGTGAATTTCATGTTTGATTTTCCGACTATAACAGCTGTGACTGCTACATTTAAAGGCCAAGAGGTTATTATGACGTTAGAAATAACAGAGAGAGAAAGAAGCAGATGATACGAAAACATGTCTAGCCTGTAAAGACCTGGTGTGAAAGAACCAATAAAACACTTTAAATCCTGTTCCCCGCACTTGCAGCAATGACATTATGATGCATTCCGCCATTATGTCGTCGGTCTGCGAGGGTTCAGGGTGGGTAAGTATGTTGTACTTGGCCACGTTTCTTTTTTAGTTTCAAAAAGTCTGCTGAACTAATCTTAAAAAACAACAGCAGCAACAAAGTAGAAGCAGCAGCAGCAGCTGCAACAAAAAACAAATAAACAAACAAAACAACAACAACAACAACAACAACAACAACAACAAAAGAAACAGTAGCCGCAGCAACAGCAGCAG